ACAGTCTGCAACACGCTGTGCTTTGAATCCTCACAATCCATGAGTCGCGGTGTACAGACTCACGATCAGATCGCTGCTGGGTGTAGGCAGGCGTATGCTATGTATGCCAGACAGTATAATAATGTCTCAAGGTCAGAGTTACTCATGACAACTGACAGATTTTTTCCCAGCTGGGCTTTTGTTAACATTACTACAGATCTGTGTCTAACTGTGCATACTTGGTTGTTATCATTATTTAGTGTATGTGTTACACTAGCACCCAGAGGCTCCAGTCAGGACTGGAACCCTGTTGTGCCGGGTGCTGTACAAACATAAAATAAAAGGCAGTACCTGCCCCAAGGAGCCTACCATCTAAATATAGTTACCCGTGGTCCTATTGTGAGTAATGGCGTGCCTGCCTGGGGAATTATGGGTATGCTACAGGTGAGGTAATGGCTATGGATGGTCAGTGAGGGCACAAATTTCAATTTACTAGCGATTCCCCCTAACTACAAGGAAGAATAACAGCCTAGAAGAGTCAGGCACAAGCTTTTTCAATTCTCAATTAAAAAAAAAAGTCTGGTGAGGCAGGCTGGAAAAATCACAATTAAAGCAAAGAGTGGGATTTACACTTCAATGATCGTTGTCAGGAAAGCAAATGTCCAGGACCGTACATTTTCAGGTGCACCAATACTAGGGCCAGAAATAGCCACAGACATGCAGATGACCCAGGACCATAAATACTCAAGCGCACAGGTGGACAAGACAACAAATAGCTTGTTTTCAGGTTCATCAATGCCCAAGATCACAGATACCCATCTCCCCCTTTGCACTGGCACAATGGCTGAGAGCAGTGGAGATGGATTTGCTCACATTCCATAGCTGGTCACAATTTAGGACTGAGGATGGGATGGGATTCAGGAGACTGTTCCCCATTGTAGCTCACATTCCCTCTTGTGGTCCAAGTTTGTTAGCATTCCGAACACTTCTGGACACTCACCTTTTTTCCAAACCTTTGATGGATGGTTCTAAACTGCAGCACAGTCTCTTCCTCCTTGCTTTTCTGATTTATAAATTGATGGTGATTCTCTGCAGCATCCAGAAACCAGCAGTTATTGAAATTAGATGCCATCATGATAGGCACACATTCGAAACAAGGAAAGGTTAAAAAAACTGGACATGTTCTTCTTGAGAGAAGACGACTGAGGGGGGCCTGATAGTCTTCAAATATGTTAAGGGCTGTTAGAAAGAGGATGGGGATCAATTGTACCCCATGTCTACTGAAGGTAGGACAAGAAGTAACGGGCTTAATCTGCAACAAGGAAGATTTAGGTTAGATATTAAGGAAAACTTTTAAATTCTAAAGGTAGTTTAGCTCTGGAAGAGGCTTCCAAGAGAGGTGGTGGAATCCCCATCACTGGAAGTTTTTAACAATAGGTTGGCCAAATACCTGTCAGGGATGGTCTAGACTCAGTTGATCCTGCCTCAGCACAGGGGGCTGGACTGGAGAACTTCTCAAGGTCCCTTCCAGCCTTACAATTCTTTGATTAGAGGATTCTATGAAATAAAAGAGAGAGACCACCTTGTTCCTTCTGCTTGTGCGTTATACCTCTTCCCCCACCCTGTATCTGTCTTGTCTGCTTCTAATCTAAACAGGGCATGGACCTTCTCTTTGTTCTGTACCTATATAGTGCTAGAACAATGAGGCCTGGTCCCGGACTAGGGCTCTTAGGCACTACGGTAATACAAATAATAATAGACATAACTAAATAAACACCCAGGGGTACAATTCTCCTGTTCCGGGATATTAGTAACTTTCCATAACTTTAGTGGGAGTTACTCATATCTCAGGGGAAGTGAGACCCAGGCCCTAGAGCACAAATACTCTGGGGAAGGTATCTGAACATAGGGCATGGCAGGGGAAGGCGGGTCCATGTGGGCTGGTCTGCCCAGCTCATTTGATCGCTTGGCTGGGATGTGGGTGAATTTCTCCATTTCCCGCCCTTGAGATGATATTCAGTTCAATGCAATTATCTGTCCACCAAGAGTCAGATGAAGCTCTAGCTCTGGAGTTATTCCGCAGCTTGATTTGTGAGATTTTAGTTGCTATAACAACTGAATTCATGCCTCAAAAATAGGAACTTATTTTTCCTTCAATTTGCCTTTTGCCCTCAGAACCCAGTCTATTTTGGTCCTGACAGTTCATTTCAGGTGTCCCTTGCCAATGAATTCTGCAGCCCCACAGGCTGCTCCACTGGGGATGGGCTCCCACAGGGACCGCACTTTCAGTTCATTAAGCATTACTTGCCGACGTTTTTCCTTCTCCCAAAATGCCTGTATTATGTCTGATGAAAGGTAAAGGAGCAAATAGACATCACTAACGAGCCCTGGCAAAAGCTTCTCCACAGTCATGAAAGCTGGAGAAGCAATTTGAAATAAATCTCTCAGTGTGAGCAGCAGGCATCTAGGAGCAGTTCTCAGAAATGATCTTAAGGCGAGGGTCAGTTTTGGATCTGGGGTCTGGATACTGTGGTGCTGACTGCTAATGGTAGGAGAAGGAGATCAGAAAGATGCTATGGATTTACCCCTTTTCCTTGCCCTCTGACTTGTTCCATCTCAGGGCAAGCTGTAATAAATTTGTCCACTCCATCCCCTTTGGGCTGTGCAGGGTACAGCTCCAAATGTAGCAAACTGACAACACTTCAAGTATACCCAGGAGTGCTTTGGGCACTATATCAGAGAGCCCTCGGGAAGCCACGCCACTGAGTCAAATTTTAAAAAGTCCCAAACAAGCAAAGAAATGTTGTGCAGAATCATCTGCGTATCCCTTTGCTTTATTTTTCTTGATCACTGGCTGTTGTCCATTGGTTCATGCTGCCCCAATCCTTGACCAATAGGGAAATACATTCTGGCACAGAAATGAACTCCTCCCAGAAGCTGTCCTTCTCACATAACTGGATTCTCAAGAAACCTGGCTACACTTCCAAACAACTGAGATGAGTTTTGGATTTTAGTTAGAGGGAGCTAGGTGACACGGTGGGTCAGTGGAAGCCAAGGTTTAAATCTTCCTGATGTCAACAGTTAAATCAATTTGAAAGTCTTAGCGTAGTACTTAGCCCTTAACCTAGTACTGCATCACAAAATCACATAGGATTGACTCTCATTAGCAGACTTCTAAGAGAAGTTTAGGAATAGAATATCAGGGAATTCTGCATGTCAAGACTAAAGCTATGTCTATACATGGAAGCTAGGAGTGCAATTCCCAACTTGCATAGACATACTCATGCTAGTTCCTATCAAGGTAGTGCGCCAAAATTTGTAGTGTAACCACAGGAGCATGGGCTAACCGCCCTGAGTACGTACCCACATGGTCCATGTAGGAGGCTGTACCACTTTAATGATACCATTTTCAAACCAATGTAGTTAAAGCAATGCAAAAGCTGTGTGTAGACAAGCCCTTCTATCATTTTAAAGCTGGTCATATCCATTTAGATGCCACCTCTACATTTTCAGATGCAAGCTAAGCCAATATAAACCAGGTTTCAATCAATTTTAGAATGTCCAGGCACAAAGCTGCACTGGTTTAACTAGAGTGGTTTAAAATCACACCTTATACTAAGCTTCCTTTTTTGGCCAAATATCACAAGATGGCCTGGTCTACACACCGTATTGCACCCCTTTGACTAAAACTGCTCTACACATTGATTCAGTTAAACAGCGTACATCAAGTTTATATACAACTGGTTTATATCAACTTGCATTCATACATAAGAGCACCTGGTGCCAAATTCTGCTTTGGGGACATCCATGTACAGGGGGGAACTCCACTGGAGGCAATGGAGTTGGGTATAAAAGAGGCACAAAAGGGGAATCTAACCCGTTAACTGTTTTCCTGGAACTTCCCTCCGGCATCAGAGCAAAACCAGGTCATGTTTCTCCTGATGGGGAGGGTGTGCGCCTTTAAGACCCTGTGCGCCAGCAAAAAGGACCTCTTTTGTTGAATGGAAACACACAGGGCTACTCCCCCCTAACTCTGCTCAGCCTGGCTCCTTCTGTTTGTGGCAGTTTTCAGCATCTAAGATTTTTCGGGGAAGGGGGAAGGAAAGAGACATAGCTAAGGAGAGGGCCGTTGCCCCTACACCCCATGGATCCTTTAGGGAGGAGACTGCCCTATAGCAGAACAAACTCCTTTCTTTTTTCCCCTGACTGTACAGGAAGGGAGCAGAGCGAGTGGCATGCATTTGTGTGGAAGGCAAATCCCCAGTGCATTCAGCCCAAGCACATCCATTAATGCACATTATGTGGACTAGTTACGGGGGAGGGGTAGAGATCCAGAGGCGGGGCAGGCACAGAGGGAAGGGAGAGGCCTTGCATGAAAGGCAAAGAAAGGGAGTGTGATGGAGGCAGACAGAGAAGGACAGGAGCTGGGGTTCCCAGCTCCCCGGCAGCACCATTCGGTGCAGAGCCCTGCTTCGCTAACTGTTGCATTGCTTCATCCCCCTGCTCCGACGGGCTGTTTAGAAATAGCCCTGGGCTACAGCTGTTGACCTTCGTGCCCTAATAAAAAAGGTGCATTTAGATTGAAAGGGGAGAAACCTCCCTTCACCCCCAGCTGAGGCAGCTCAGGGAGAACAGCACTCCCTAGAAGATGCCCTCCAGGATGCCAGGGCGGAAAGGCACCATCTCACCAGCATCCCAGCTCGAGACAGGGAAAGGGCCCCAGCTTGGTCCTGGGGGAAGCGTGAGCCCTGTGCAGAAAAGAGTCACCTGGTCAAAACACCTGCGAAGGCGAGGATGGCCATGCCCTCGCTGGGAGCAAGCGAAGCCGACTAAGGGCTCTAGGTCTGGGGAAGCACTGAGTGATTCTGCCCATCAACAGCTGCTCACGCCCCCTTTCTCCCCCCCGCACTCTGTCTGTCTCTGTCCATCTGTCTGCAGCTCCGCCCTCGGCATGCTTTAATTACATTTTAAATTCAAATCTGCTGCTATTTGATCCGCTGGGCGTATTTATAGCTCCGCTCAAGCTGGCTGTGTGGATAAGGCAGGTTGGGCAGGTTGCTGTGACATGTGGGGCAGGATGGGATTGCTCACTCGCTTTCCTTCTTTTCCTCCTCCTCATCGGATTATTTTGCAGCAGGTCCCACGTACCCTCCCTCCCTCCCTCACACACACACTGGCTCTCTTTTAGGTTGCTTTTGTTTTTATTGTATTATTCTCTTGTGCAACAGGGGGCAGGAGAAACTAAGGGTGGCCTTGATTTTTCTCTTTAGCATTTTAAACACACACACACAGTGTTTGGGGTAGAGAGAGAGAGAGAGAGAGAGATCTGGTCCTTGGTCCTGTGAGTTGCTACCTCTACATGCCTGAGCCAGCAGACAAAGCAAGCACGGATGAAGTTGGTACGGTTACCCCGGGGCTTGCTGTTTCCTCCTTGGGTCAGACGAATCTCAGAGACTTCCCTGCCCCCTGTCCGCTACTGAGCTGAAAATCCACCTCTGGGATTTAACCTGCTGCTCTTGAATTTCCTCCTCTCCTGCCTGTCTCACTCTGCTTCTTCCACCCACCTTCCCCCCTCTTCAACACTCCCTGGACCAGAGCTGGATTCTGATGGAACTGCCAAGATGTTCATGTCCAGAATCCTGGATTTTCAGAAGACAAGATATGCCAGGTAAAGCCAAGTGGCTGTGTTCTTAATTCCTGTAGCTGAACCATTTTGCATTGTGTTTTGAAACCCTCCCAACCTCTGCCCTTCCCTAGAGGAAGCCGGGAGTGAATTCCAGGGTGGTGCTTGCAGGACAGAGTGAATAAAGCTGACAGTGGGGTTTGAAAGATGTGGAGCTCCTCCGAGCACAGGGCACCTGCAGGGCTGATATTCTTGCTTTGTTTTCCTGGTATAACAACAATCCTTTGCACTTTCATAGCACCTCTGCAGACCTGAATGAATTCAGGCTCACAATGCCCCTGGGAGATAAGTATTACTAGCCCCATTTCATTAATGGAAAAACTCAGGCAAATGTGGCCACTGATTTTGGGCTGTTTCAATATTTGGGTGTCCTTCTTGGGACACTTTGACACAGGGTCATCCTTTGGAGTTGTGGGTGCTCAGCACCTCTGAAAAATCAGCCCCCTACAAGGGGTAGTAACTTGTTTTAATGGCTCAGGTCTGTTGGGATCCATTATAGTGGCACCTGCTTAAGAGGATACCTGATGAATGGATAGTCCTGGTCAAGGGATGCATATTCTATGCATCCAACCACTATACAATGAAACTTAGGGTATCACGCATGTTCAAGAAAGATGAATTCAGACTGGACTAGGTGCAGAGAAGGGGGACTAGGATGATCAGGGAACGAGAGAATCTATCTTTCAAGAGGAGGCAAAGAACTTGGCTTGTTGAGCCTACCAAAACAAAGGCTGGTTCTCTCAGAATACATTCAGGAGGAAAACACCAGGCAGCGAGAAGAGCTATTTAAGTTAAAGGACAATGTTGGCATAAGAACAAATGGGTACAAACTGGCCATGAATACTCCAAGATTGGAAATGAGAAGGTTTCTAACCATCAGAGTGAGATCCTTGAACAGCCTTCCACTAGGAGAGGTGAGGGCAAGGAACCTGACTACTTTTAAGGTGGAGCACGATACCTTTTTAAACAAGACAATATGGCGGGGATGCCTGTGCTAGCAGCGGACGGGACTCAATGACTCAGGAGATCCCTTCCAGTCCCATATTCCTGTGTAAAGTGCAACAGAAAATTATTGTCAGGCATCTTAGACAGAGGAAATGCAATGTACACCTGAATCGTGCATTTCAGGCTTGAAGATAGGCTTAGCGAGTCAAATGGAAAGTATAATAATTTATGTAGTATCATCTGTAGCCAGCCATAACGTGATGTTGCAATGGAAAGGCTCTGTGAGATGGTGTTTGAAAACAGAATTTCTGTAGTGAATTCTGTGCTGGGGAAAGGCGTCAAACAGATCATAGCCCTTTAGACTGAGTCCTTTATGCACAGGACAGGGACCCAGGGGCAAGAGCTGTGCAAGGTTCCCTGAACACCGCTCCTTAGTCTATATGTCTTAGCCCTGACCTGGATGAAGCACCTAGAGTACAGTTCAGTCTCTGTATCTGTTCAGTCCTTAGCCTCTCTCCCAGCTGCTAATGCCAATTCTTGTGGTGGGAGTGGTTTCTGTGATGTGGAGAAAGAGCTGCTGAGTTGACAGATTCCAAATGGTTATCAGATTTCTATTGAAAAGCAGCTTTCCTAGTCCGTTTGTCTTAGGAACTGAGTTTGAAGCTGATATACACAAATCCTGAATGAAGACTCACTTCTCATTCTTCAGATGCCCATTTAAATACCATGTGTTCCTACTGAAGAACCCTTTTGCAATTGTACTGGTCTCCCTATATATGTGTGGGAAAATGGGTGAGTTACAGGGCAATTGTGGGCAATGCTTTGTAACCTTGTCCAGGACAGATCCTTTTTTAATAACCAAGAGAATGCAGAAGTTTTTTGTTTTGTTTTTACAAAGTGCAATAGGAAAGTGATCAGATCAATTAAATGATGTAGATTTTCTGGACACCGAACCAAAGTACATTTTGGAAGCCACTGGAGCGAGCCCTCTTTAGAAAGTCCCTCTCTGTCCAGTTAGAGAAACTGATCTGCTAGATGTAACTGAATGCACTTTTTGTGCAACAAGTGTTGCATGTTGAATACGTTGCTAAGAGCCCATTGTTAGGACTGGAATAGTGGGGGATGTGAGTAGAAATGAGGCTTACTCACTGAAAATAGGTGCAAGGCTCCTCTCTGTCTTCTCTTTGTCTTCGCTGGGATGCAGAGACTGGATTTGGGAACTGAGGAATCAGACCAAATGAGCAGCATTGTACTTCTTTGCATGTTAAGATGAAGCTTCTCCCACATGTAACCTAAGGACCAGGCTTTTGTTTTTCAAAGTCTTTTTTGCTGAAGTCTTTTGATAGTTCTTCATGGAGCACAAAGGATAAAAAATATATCACAGCGACTAGCTGAGTGCTCGAACTGGGCAGTGCCGTGCCGAGCAGGAGATCTGAGTTTGATTGCCCGGCTTGGCAAGAGCTGGAAGGGCTGGGGACCAGAAAAGGGAAGCCTTGTACTTCAGGGATTTAAGGGTAGTGACCACTCTCAGTATATTGATTGGTGTTGAAAGGGAGGTCTCCAGCCATTGCTCCTTGGCTGGGAGTTAGAATCTGAGTTGGGGGATTTATGGAGAAGGCGTCTTAAAGTGCAAAAAGGGCCAAATTATACCTCTCCACCATGTGTATCTCAATGGGAGGAGAGTGACCTCACAGAGTTTCCTTGAATTTTTCCCCAGGATGATCGTGGAGGAAGCAAGAGATGCAGCTTCCCAGTCCCAGGGATGGGAATTGCTCTTTCCTCAGAGGGCCAGCCCCTCTGCAGCTCTTTTGTCCCCCAGCCCCTCCTTGCGGCATGGCTCCGGTTGGTGCTATTGTGCCCTCGGACTGGCTACCCACATGTGCAGACCTGGAGGCTGAGTTACCAGTGCTTCAAGCAGCTATCCATGGTTCATGGAAGAAAGATGCCATGGAGAGCGTCTGCTCCCTTGTACATCTCGTTCCTTCTGCTGCGTGGTTGGGGGATGGAAGGAGCATGCTAAGGAATCAGGATCCACCGGGTTCTGCTACCTTGTCCTTGTATAAGCAACGGGCAGCCTGGGGCCCAAAGAGTGACGGGTGCAGATCCTTTGAAAACCCTTGCTATGCCGGACCCACACATTATAAACGAGATCATACCTTCACACACACAGGTAGTTCATAAGCTCCCGCTGCCATATCAAGGTAGCAGGGGACATGCCATGTTTTCCACCATCAACAGGTGTACAGTATACAGCTTCAGGCTATGCGCCAGAGAGGAGCATTGTGAAACAGAGAGGAAAGTTTCCCAGGAACCTGAGAGTGAAGCCAGCAGGGAGATGCGCTTGCTGGGCAATTGAAAAGGAAGCAGAATCTCCATCCCCTGACAGGTAGCCATCTGCAGGAGCATGCCACCAGCTTCAGCATTTCACTGTCACTTTTGCTTTTGCCACATGGCAAAGGTATGTCTGATCCTGGGAGGTGCTGAGAGGCATCAACTCCTCTGAAGTCAATGAGAACCGAGGGGACTCAGCCTGCAGGATCGGTCCCTTGACTTGTGAAGTTTATCTACAGCGTAGCAGAGATGAAGCCCCAGGAGGAATGGGGTCAGATGTCCATGACCTAGAAAGTGACACCAGGCTGGTTCCCTTTGTTGGGCTCTTGGACTTCTTCCCCATAATCTTTTCTGCACCAGGCATGACAGCTGTGGTGCCAGGCTTCTCCGGCAGCTTTCCCGTTTCTCCGGCCAAATGCCTTGGCCGTAAGCAGCCAGAGCTTGACACCTTGTGTGATTAGCTGGGAGCTGGGTTTGGAGCAGGCCAAGCACCACTGTAAGATAAAGCATGTACACCCGAATGGGAAGCATGCTGTAGTGGCACACGGAAGCTCAGCACAGGGAATTACCCTTAACGGCCAGATTCTGCCACCCTTAAAGGATTGGAAAACGTGTCTTATAGTGAAAAACTCAAGCAGCTCCATCTGTTTGGCTTAACAAAGAGAGGTTAAGGGGTGACTTGATCCCAGTCGATAAGTAGCTACATGGAGAACGGAAATTTGATAATGGGCTCTTCAGTCGAGCAGACAAAGATCCAATGGCTGGAAGCTAAAGCTAGATCCATTTAGATTAGAAATAAGGTGCCGTTTTTTAAACCGTCTGTGTAATTAACAGTTGGAACAGTTTAGCAAGGGGTGTGGCGGATTCTCCATCACTGGACGTTTTAAACTCAAGATTACATGTTTTTTTTTAAAAGATATGCTCTAGTTCAAACTGGAATTAACTCAGGGAAGTCTGATGGCCTCGGTTGATGATCACAGTGGTCCCTTCAGACTTGATAATCTATTAATCTTGTTCCATATGCAAGCCCATTGATTGCAACGGGACCATTCCTGAAGTAAGACACCACTTACTCAGCACAAGTAACAGGGGCAGAATTGGGTCCTATGGTAGGGAGAAGAAGCCAAGAGTACCAGTCACAGGTCTGTGCCAGGACCAGTACACATGGGAGTGATGGGCAACTCATTGGCGTATCTGACTCAGGAAGGTATAGACATAGGTGCAGGTATAGCTGGCCTCTCGGGAAGGCATTAGAGGCATCTTGACGCAGCTTGGAGGAGGGTGGGAAACTTTCCCTCTTGTGGAGTTGATTGGCCCCGGAAAATAGCATAAATTCATGATCTCATAAGAGGAATCTGGAACCGATTCTTTTTTGGTTTCTTTTTTTTTCTTTTCTGATTCAAGAGACCCAAGGAAGGAAGAGATTAATGTCAGATGGTCATCAATAAATGCACTGGAAAAATAGCCAGATGAAAGACCTAAGCAATGAGAATCAGATGAAAGAAAGCGATCAATGTGGGTGTGTTTTATGAACTGTCAGGGGGCAAGAATGTTGCCCAAGATTCATCCAGGGTTGGCTCACTTCTAAATGTTAAATGACTTCAGAAAGAGAGGGAGGATGGGAAGAAAGAAAGAATTTGAAGAAAGTATATAACAGCGGAGAAGAAACTGAATTTGATTCCATTCCATGAGCAAGAAAGCCCTTTATT